TTATGTGCCAATGCAATACTTATGCAAGTGTTCTCTCCATCCACTCTCACACCCAGAGCTGGGCAAAATACTCGAAGTACTCGTACTCGTACTCGTACTCGAGAGTTAAATACTCGAAATTCTAAATAATTATGCATTATATTAAAATGATGCTTGATAAAATTATAGTATCTTTTCCGAGGATGAAATACACAACTGATATCTTTTTTTTTTATTCTTTATATACGTATACAGATAAATATAAAGACGTCTTCCTAGGATTTAACAACTGGCGTACTCTTTCTTTCTTATCCTCCTTCACTAGTAATATAGTCTTTAATTAGTAACCAATGAGTGTTTGTATATTATTATACAGTTTTTCTTTCTTTTTGTATGCATAATCCATTCTTACTGAACAAAATACATTCGTTGTTCGTGTATTATTACAACTCAATTATTTGATTTACTATTGTGAACATTTATTTAATTATTTATATTTATTATGAATACAAATTCGATTATCACAAAAGGTGAATCAGAATCCGTCATCGTGGTAAATGATGATGTTAATGGACCACCTGTTATTCAAGAATTCTTTTCAAAATTGAATATTAATATTGAAAAGAATCGATGGACTTGTTGCTGCAATATTTGTTCATTATCAGTTACAGATACATATAGAACAACTTCGAATTTTTTAAAGCACATAAAAACTAAACATCGATTAGCATTTGATGAATGGAAAAGTAAACAAGACCAGGTGGTGAATGAACAAAATCAGCCGAAGATTACAAATATTTTTAATCGAGAGAATGAAAAATGTAAGTATACACCTATCTTAAATAACATCGTAATTGAATTAGGAAAAAAATAGTGAGAAAAGACTAGAATTGAGGCGATAAACTTTGTTTCGTTTATAAAGAGAAATATGTTACTATGATTTCATTTTGTATCTTCTATAAAGATACAAAGATAAGGAACTTTTTCTTTATTTTAGATTCGACCAATAATAAACGTCAACAACTTCTCACCAACAGTCTTATTCGAAATCTTATTATTAATATGAGTCTTCCATTATCAATAGTCAACAATGAATCGTTTATGAATTTTATGTTAGATATTGATCCAAAGTACAAAATGATTAATAGACGTGATATTACACGTTCGTTTCTTCCTATTATGTATAAAAAATGTATAAAAAAGCTGCAGGACATTTGTAATCGATCAAAATATGTTAGTCTCACTCTTGATATATGGAGTGATCGTAGAATGCGTAGTTATTTTGGCATTACACTTCATACAATTATTGATGATCAATATAAAACTTATGTTCTTTCGTTCGAACGTCTAAAAGGTAAACATTCTGGTGATAAACTTGCTGCTGAATTTGATCGCGTTATACAAATGTACAATTTAAAGGATAAACTTGTTAGAATAGTTACTGATAATGCAAGTAATAATCAAGCTGCATTTGATAATCTTATATTATCTGGTTTTGAAGAATATTTTAATGATATTGATGATGATCAATCTGAACGTGAAACAAGTGATGAAGATAGTGATAATAATGAATTGTACGGAAATAGTCAATTACAAGCAGAAGAAGTAAATGATGATATATATGGAACAACACTTAGTGCACCAGCAGAACAAGAATTTTTACGATTACCATGTTTTAGTCATTGTCTTCAACTTGTTGTTAATGATGGAATTAAAGCTGCTGGTGGTGCATTATCGTCTCTTAAAAAAGTAGCTGATCTTGCTAAACTTGCACATACAAGTACATCATTTACAGAACGTTTAGAAGAACAAAAGTACAGTATTCCTCTTGCTAATCGAACTCGATGGAATTCACAATTTCAAACTGTGAAGAAAGTTATTAGTATTCCATCCTTCATTCTTAACTCTATTTTAACTGATTTAAAAAAAAAAATCTTATTCTTAATACTAAAGATAGAAAAATTTTAGAAGATTTTGTTTCTTTATTTGAACTGTTTAATGAAGCTACTGTTCTAACACAAGGTGAATGTTATGCTACTGTTAGTCTTGTTGCGCCTACAATTCTTGGTATTCTTTTTGATCTTGAGCGTGAACATGCTTCTTCAAATTTATCTCTTGTATCTTTGTGTGAAGCACTTCTTTCATCTCTCAAAGCTCGATTTAGTGGACTTCTTCGTCATTTCGAAATTGATGTACCATTCGCTTTTTATTCCATGTCTGAACGTTTTTCTGATCCTATCTTTCTAATTGCGCCACTTCTAGATGCATGTTTTAAATTGTTATGGCTCCATAATCTTCAACTTGCAATAAAGTTACGTGTTATCGAAAAAATTCACAGTACTTTTGTTCGTTTTTTCTCAAAATTGAATTTTTCTGTATCACAACCAGAAGAAGCTGATGAGTCGAACGTAGCTGAACAAGATATCAGTGATATGATGACAAAACATGTTGATCCAACAACAAAAAGAAAATGTCTTTTTCCTTACTTAAATGATACGAAAAAGATTTCATTTGATGAGAAATCGAAAGTTTTGGTAGAGCTTGATGCTTTTCTACCCGAAAGAAGCAATGAAAATAATTTACTTTTTCTCAAGAAAAATCTTTATCCTTCTCTATATGAACTTAGTCTAAAATACTTGTCAGTACCGGCTACATCAGCTCCTATTGAAAGAATATTTTCTAAAAGTGGTTTTATTATGCGTCCACATCGCGCATCGTTAACCTCAAAAAATGTATGCTTGCTTACTTTTCTTAAATGCAATAGCGTTTTGTTGTAATTTGATTGTTTAAAACTTTATGATAAAAAAAATAAGAATAAACATATTTTGATTCATGACTTTAACAATGTTTCGATCTCAGAATTAATACATCATTATTAAAACTATCAATTAAATTTTTTCTAATGAGATCTTAGGAAACTCACTCTTATGTACTCGTACTCGTACTCGAAAAAGTCTGTACTTGCCCAGCTCTGCCCACACCTACTCACACATACACTCCTCTTTCCTCAAATATTCTCCAGAGAAAAAGGTTAACCTTTTTTTTTCTTCTTCTAGTCCTGCTGATCTTATTCTCAATTTTATACCAAAAGAAGATGATACTCGTATATTAGTAAATATCTTTCTTTTTCTTCTTTTTTTAAGTTCATATCTTTTCTTATCAAAGAATTCTTGAGAAAATGTTTTTAATTCAAATGAATCTCGTTTTAATTATCCTCGTTCATCATTAGGGGTGTCAGTTTCGGGTTCCGTTCCGAGGTATGGGAACCCACGCCGGGTTCCCGTATCCGAGAACGCGGAACCCGGAGCGGGTTCCCGTACTTGGGAACGCAGAACGCGGGGCAGGTACCCATACCTGGGAACGCAGAGCCCGGGGTGGGTTCCCGTACCTGGGAACGCGGAACCCGACCGGGTTCTCGTCCCGGGGAATCCAGAAACCCGTCATGACGTTATAAAGATGAAAAGAATAAGTATGTATCAATATCTGTAGATGATCGAAAATGTGTGCAGACCAATTTTCAAATGATTTGCCAGACTCTAGAACGCAGAGGCCAGGTGGATTATCCTGCTTGGAATAAAAAGTTCCTGAGACTTGTTGCTTCCAGTAACTAAATCAATATCATATTTCTCGTATGATTTATTGCTGCAGTTCCCCTTGAGATGCATTAGATCCACTGACAGCTGATGGGACTCTTAAGATAATACCCTGATATCCTTTTAATAGCTTCGTTTGATTCATATTACTATAGAAGATATGAAGTTGACACAACAATTGTCGGTATCACTCTGACAATATCGCTTATTGAACCGTACGGAGGTGTTTTCAGCGAGTCTAATTTCAGTCATCGTATACTGCCTCAATTTCTTTTCTTGAAAAATGCTCTTGAAGTTTTCGAGAATTCATAAAACAGCATAGCTTTGTTACTTAGATGTGCTATGTGAGTTATGTGAGTGCTTCCTTATTCAATAATCGCTCTCTATTAGCACTAATATTCCGTATATCAGATCATCCGTGGTCACATGATATCGCAAGTACAGACCATGAGTCGCTTCTATTTAAAAAAAATAACTTGATGAATAGAACTAATGTTTTACAACTTTACAACGTACCATGATTAAAATATTTCCACAATAAGCAATATAGTGCAAAATGTAGTATAGAACTTTCATTAACAGAGGGCGTATAATTATGCATAATAAGCAACAGCTTTAAGCAGCAACACCAGCTCATATAATGTACCAAGTAATTTTCAGATTAGGTGTAAGACCAAATACGAAAACCAGTCATTTTTAGAAACTATTGTGGCGCTGTTTTATTATCAAACAAGTACAGTTACCACTGTGGCTCTACGCTGCTCTGCATAAAATAAATTCGTTTCTTTCTTTTATTTGCTTCCGTGCTTGTTACAATCTGCCAATATAAATTCAAGCAAGTAGTTACGAATTTCTATCTTAAAAGATAATAATTCAAATGGCAACTCATTTCTTTTATTGGCGATTATTATTCTATAAATAATTATGATAACAGCTTCAGGACAGATAAACTTAACAACAACACTAAGATAAGACACATGTTTTCATAGACTGTAGTATTAACACAGAAAATATCGTAACTATTTAAGATTGATGAATAATAACAAAAATGAGGTCGACAAGAAAGGACAAGTGGCGTTAAGGCCATTTTTTTGCCCCCAATATTTTTCAAAAAGAATTACAGATTTGGAATCAGCATTAAATTCTGAGTAAAATGAGGTCTTTTTTCTTGAGAAAAAACGACTTTCATTTTTCACGGTTCATTTGGAACCTGTAGGGGACCCCAGGGTCGTCGAAAACTTTTTTTTTTTGAAATTTGTTAAATTGACAACTATTAGACGCGGAATTTGATGCTGATTCTGAATTTCAGGTTGAAATCCGAAAAAAGAGAAATTTTCATCGATAAAATCTAGTTAATTTGTTTTAGTAATGGGCAAAAATTTGTTAACGAAAATAATACTAATTACAGCAGCTTTAAATTTCATAATATATTTATTTATTTATTTATATAAATTTATTTATTAATTTAAAAGTCGACGTTTCGTCGATTCACTCGACATTAACAAGACGATAACGATAACACAACTTATTACACATACATATATATATATATGTAGAAAACATATGATGATGACTCATTATATGACTAATGCTACTAGGGGTGTGGGTGTGGGTGGGGATGAAAAGAAGAAACTCACGCCCACACCCTCAGCTTCTTTACAGTATCACTCAATATCGAATAAAGTACATCTAATGCAACAGCTTGTTCATAATTTACTACGTCATGATCGAGGTAAGCAAAATGTTCATCTCGATAGGTACCAGTCAACAAAAAAAAATTGCAACTTGATGCACCATAAGTTGAGATATCTGTTGTTGTAACACATGGTACTAAGTCAACCTGAACATCAACATTAGTTATTAATTCTGCAAAATAATAACAAAACCGAAATTATAGTATTTAAAAAAAGTATAATAAAAGCATTTTAATATCGAAAGATGCTTCATTTCAGTCTTTCTTATATTCATCACATATAGAAGATGATAGCGGTATTAAAAAAAACTTAAACATTCAAAATTTATTTCTGGAAGTCGCCAGGTTATTCTTCTCTTTTATAGAAAAAAAATTTCGTATGAAGAAATCCACCTTCAAAATGAGCTTTGGTCATTTTTGTTTTTTCGTCAGATTTGTATGCATCAATATTAACATCATCACCTAAAACAAACAAAGAACATAAAAATATAGATTGAGCAAAAGAAAAACAAGAATTAGTCATGGAAGATTTTAATGTACAATACGAATATCTCTTATGTTCCCCTTGATTATTAATGTCTTTGTATAGGAAAAGTATCTAATAAAATAAATTTAATTCAATTTGAAATATAAGTTTTACCTTCTTTCATTTCAACTGGTGCTTCATGTTCAATGGCTGTTGTATCTTCAGTAGGTTTTGTATCAGTAAACATTTTTGGATAACTCTTTTTTTTAATCGAATTAATATTTTAAATGTTATTTTCAATATCTTTTCGACAATTATTTTAATCTTCAAGAAAATTCTTTATCTAGAATGCGGATCGAAATTTATATACAATATGACAAAAAACTATCTTTATCATACATAATAATTGATTAAAAATATTATATTAAACAAAAGAATTTGTAAAAGGTGATGGTCTTTTCTTTCCTTTTGTTTATTCTTTGTACGAGACAATACATATAGTCTGTTATTTGAAATCTGAATATATGAAATATACGTCTAATCGACAGAATTAGAAAGAAAAATAATCGTTTATCTAATTTGATTTGATAATCGATTAGTCCATAGAATATTTGTTTATTTTATATGAGGCAATATTTTCCATGTCATATTTATGCAGCGATAAATTCAATTGTATAAAATATAATCAGACTTTTTTTATGAATCAATCAATCGTAAATGATCTTAATAAATAATTGGAAATATTTACAATAAGCAATTTTATATTTGTAAATTATAAAAGTAATTGAGAAGTAACTTGTTCTATGATGTTTTTATACGTAAATATATGAATTTTTTCAGTTCAACAAAGATTATTCTGTCTTGTAGGTTTCGATGAGTTGTATCTGCATTAAAAAAAAGCTGTCAGCGCAATTCTTGCGGGATTAAAATGTGAAACACGATGGAGCTGCGGATGCTATAAAGTGGAAATCTAGACTTCTTTCACGATCTATGACGATTTGCTTGCTAAGATGTTTGTCATAGTCTGTAATCGACCGTTGCTAAGGATGTCTGTAACGTATGGGAGGAGGTGTTTTCAAATTTCTACCCCTATATACTTCAACACTCCTTGTAGATCGTATTCCATAAAATCAGCTTAAACAATCGCCCCTTTAGGGTGATATGGATATTAAAATATATTAATAATACAATTTTATTTGTCCTTTTTTGAAAACCTTTTTCGAATATTACTATTTGATACAAATCTGTTTAACAAGACTGTCAGCCATAAATTAACACAATCCAGTATTTATTGCTATGCAAACATTTTCGAAGGAGATACATGTAATTTTATAATGCTTCTGTTGGAATAGTGCAATGCATATGTATGGTGTCTGTTTCACTCATTCTCTGATTTAAATATCCTTATTTGCAATTGCACGTTGTTCACGATCATGATGAATAATTTTTTGTTTTAACATAAGAAATTCTTGTTGATTAAAAACAATCTTTAGTCCAATGTACAATGAAAATAAGCCATAAGACTGCAATTTTTTGTTAATTTTTGATAGTTTGATTTTTGAATTATCCTAGAAACTGTTTTTCTGTGCATTTTCATTGGTAGGTACATTGTATATATTCATTGTAAATCATGGCTTGTTTGCTTGAGGTGACGATGTAGTTATCTTGCTTTTAAGATTTGTTGTCGACAATCGAAAAACATTGGCATATGGCTTGTTTGATGTCGACTATGATTTCATCATGCGCGAGATTATTCTGTATACCTCGTTTCTCTCCAATCGATAATTAATATTCATCGAATTAAGGCTTTTGTAACTATTTATTAGCTCCTTATTCATTCAAAAAGTACGAAATCAATTCATTATCTTGAATATTTTTTTAATCATTAGTTGTATAGTTAATAGTGTGAAATTTTTATAGTATCAAGATTTTTAATGAACAGCTCGAATTGCAGTTAGTTTTGACATCCGAACTCAAGCAGATAGAGGAGGTTCAGGCGCTATCTTATATCATTGTATGAAATTA